TGTTTTTAAATGATAGTGGAATTTGGATAGTAACAAAAAAAAATGTAGGTTGATAGTTCTTGTATTTGATCATAAAGTAAATATGTATTGACTTCTATTCATTTAAATAGTAAGAGCTAAGGTTTGTATTGTTTGTTAATTTGTTTTTTTTTTTATGTTATTGTTTAAATAATCATGTAGATTTGTTCAGTTCTTACTAGTGGAAGGATTAGGAAGGTAATTTGGGTAATATCAATGTTAACTTCTATAGTGGCATACAATCAAAATTGGAATTTTCCACACCAGGTTATACTTTCAAACCACATTTCTTCCACTTAATGTAATGCATTATATTGAAAACCTTCATGTATTATGTATTTTATACTATTTAATAATTTCAAAGTAGCATTTGCAGTGTATTGTGCTAAAATAACCTTGTATAATCTTTATAATCCATTACTAACCAAATCTGAGTTCTGTTTTTAAGTTGTAGTTAATGTAAGTGCTATTTTCTTTATTTCCCTTGTTTTTTTCAAAGTTTTGTTCTGTATATATTTATACTTGTAGATTTTTTACAGATTTCTATGTTAGAATCAAGTATATGTTTTTATGTGTGTTGTCTGGTATTTCATAAATAAATCCATTTAGAAAACATACACAGGCAATTTTCAGTTAGTCAGTGAATAATATGGTAAGTAACATTTTACAGCAGTTTGTCTTTCATTCAACCATTTGTTTTAAATTTCACTTCCTTAATGTTTAGTGTAATTGATATGCAAAGTTGGTTTCTATCACGTAATAAGGAGGCCGGTAGAGCAGCCCCTTTTGTTGAAAGAGAGTTTTTTTTTCAGTGAATAATAAATAGTTTCTTTTAAAATATTTGTTATCATGGACTCAAGACAATGATAATGGTCAGGCAAGTCAATAAAGGGTATAAAATATAACTATATGATGTAAAAGGTATAAATTTATCCTATTTATTGTGTGATATTGTCAGAACTAATCTTTATTTAGTATATAACATTCCATATATTCAATACTAAATACCATTACACCATTATAATACACTCATTTATTATTCAGTTCAGATTTGTTAACAATACAACTGTATTTTCATATTGAATACAAATCGGACTAACCTCATTTTTTTAAGAAGATCCATTCCTCGCTGTACAATATGTTGTTAAACAGAGCGGAAGATCAAAGAGGCCAGTAAGTCATCACTATAGAGCCCCTTGATCATAGGATAGGGGCCCAGTTTATAGTTGACAGATGAAATGTAAATATGTTTGTCATTTTGTTTAGTTTTAACAAGGGTATTCTTACCAGAGAATATTTAAAAGCTATTTTAGTTATTATCTAGTCTATGGTGGGATGAAGTAATATTTTGACTGCACATTGAATTGAATAAACTTTTTAGTATACTGCCATAAACTAGGTACTTGAGAATTTTAAATACATTTGATACTCTTATTAAATATCTGTTTAACTTTTTGTAATTTAGTTTGATATACTTTGCAGTGCTTCAGACTGAGATTGCTTTATTAAAAACTTTATTATTTTAACTTGTATTACATTATGTTGAAAGCCACTGTAGTCAAGGAAAGACATTCAGGACCGTTTCCATACATAAACAGTATACATATATGTACCTTATTATTAAAGACACAATTAAGCTTTGGATTAGTGTGTCTTTTACCTGACAATGATGTGGTCTATTTATATTTTTATATAGGACCTGCACAAATATCTTTGCTCATCTATACAAGTTCCATGCTTTGATGTAAGACTAGGATCACATTTATAAGTGAAGAGTACATATCACAAACACAAGACAATATTATGGAATAAGCACACTTCTTTAATAATATGTTAAACACATACATTTCAACACAAATTAATTACAATTTATTAAAGAAGTCTGCTTATTCCATAATATTGTCTTGTGTTTGTGATATACAAATTCAGTGAACGTTAAGTGGTGTATAATGCAGTTATTCCCTCTGCTGAAAGGTTATGTATTATCCAACTACACACTTTTCCACATTGCTATGGCAATATGATTTTCGAATGGGTTACATAATCTTTGATAGCAATAAGACAAGTGACTATAGGGCCGTTCAATATTTATGGAATCACCAGAACGTTTATTACAACATGTTAGAATGGAGTTCAGAACACGTTCCGTGTATGCTAAATAAATAGAAGGTGCAGACAGAATTCAAATGGCGGAGTAGGAAATGATGGGAAAATTTGAATGTAACCTATCCACTTCCATTCTGTTCAATTAGACAGATTAGGAAGTCTCCAGATGAGGGCCACCTTGATAATCTGAAAGATCCCTATATACTGGATAAATATAGAGGATAACATAATATTTTAATGATAACAAATATTGCAAGAAAGATAGTTGACAAAAAAATCTTATACAAGCATATTAAATACAACTTCTAATTTATAAAACATTGTATTTTACACTTTGTTGCAAATATAGTTTCAAAATGTTAAAAACAAAACTTAAATGCATGGATAAAAAAAATTCATTTTGGTAGTGATATAATTGATTAGAATTCATCTGAATAAATCATTTGTAATGTATTATTATTATTCTGTTCGAAGCTTTACCACCATACTTGTTAAGCACATTTTCATAATTTAATATTTTAATGATTTAATATACTGAATAGTAAGAAAAATATCTTTGATAGCACTATTAAACAATAAATATAAATTTTTGTATTGGGTTTTCAGAGATTTTGGAAATTCATTTGATTTCAATATGTATTGAGTGCATGGCTTGACCACATTTATTGATAACAAATAATTTTTCATTATGCAATATAAAGCTTTACTTCAATTATTTTTCTGTGATCAAAATAATTTGTATTATGCACATCTCTTTTCTACTAGCCAAAAACAAAGACAAAAGAATGATGAATGGATATAAGTCAATTCTGATAACTAAATAAAGCACTCAAAGAGATTGACCTAATCATTATAACAAGGTCAAGATAGAACACTTTTCAGTTGTAACTTCTATAAGTCCTTTTGAGTGTCTGCCATGTACTCCAGCTATAAACTGCTAAGAGCTTAAAGTATAAAGATACAAAGCATTTGAGGTAAAAAATATACAACCAGTAAATGAAACAATAAAACAGTTTATGTGTAAAATAATTTATAAAATGACAATTTTTTTCTGCAGAATAGAATAAAATAAAATAAAAGGATTCCTAAAAATTACTTGATTTCATTATTCACAATACTGAATTTACTTCAAAATAAAAATCATGTTATCGAAACAATTTCAGGACTATGACATACAATGATAATACCCTAAATAAGAATCTATAAAAATTTGGTGCTATACAAATATGTACATATCATTTGTTTCAAGTCGAATTCCAACTACATGAGCAAATGTATCTAGTAGCTGTTCATTGCTTTCTCAATAACCTGGCCTGATGTGTTCTCTGTTATCAGCCTTGAAAATAAAAGACAAAGGCTATACACAATGTGTAACCATTGCATTGGTACTAGTCATCACTAGGATTAGTTGGAAGTCAGCTTTATAATGGTACGGATGTAAACTATGGTGAATATATCTTATTATTTATACCATATATATATTTACATCTATGATAGTATTGGTATTGATTTAATATCATACATAATATTATTTATAAAATCTCCTTTCATAATACAGGAACTATCACTAGTTATCGGATGGTTTAACAATTTACACTGTTGATCCACGTGATCACAAATCACATTTTGTTCTTTTAATATCATTAAAATACCCTTCAAACCACACTATGTTTTAACCCACTAAGGTAAAATTGATCAACTGATGTGTAATTTATTCCTTCCTTCTTTTTTCCATGAAGGAATTAGAGATCTTTTTTTAAATCTGATTTACACAGTCACAGTATAAAATGCTAGTCTGAACTATAACTGAACTTCAAATTTTTTCACAGTTTTGCCACCATAAGGATTACTAGCAATGTTTTTATTAACTGATTTGGCAGCCCACGCCACATCAAATGGATCTACACCAGTTTTAGAATGAGTAGGACTTGTGGTAGATACTGCTGAAGCTGCCCAATTACTTGAATCAGTGCCATTTTCTTGAAAACTTCTCTGGTGAGACAATTCTAGTAGAGTGGGTTGTTGTTTATTTCTTTGAGCATGACTCCACCCAGAACCTGACAGTTCTCCAGTGTCTATGGAATGACTGCGTAAATTTTGGAAGGCATTCGAACGTTGGTGAGCTGGTGGAGGTCTAGGGAACTGGTCCCCTGTAAAAGGCACACCATTAACACTCGAAGTGGCTCCTGTAGGAGGTTGTGTTGATACAAAAGGATTTGTCGGAGATGTAGGTTTGTTCCACAATAAATTTTGCTTGGTTCCATTAGAAGATGATTGAGCCCATGGATTTGTAGCTGGGGCATGTTGTGACAACAATGCTGAAATGAGAATTCAACATTTGAAATGAGGAGGATTTGAGAACCTTTGTTGGAAAAACTGCTGAAATATGACCCATTTAAGAATGTTTGGTTGAAAATTCTTGAAAGGATTCTTCGGTCTTAATCAAAATCATTGAACACTAGCTTTGGTTTATTATCAGTATATTGAAACTGTTGTCTATGATATATTAATATGATAAATGACACGTACTGTAAATTAAGGACAATAACTCTGTACACCCTTATGATAAACTAGAATGTGGACATTGAAAATCACAGGGGAAGACAGAGACATGCTTGACAACCGGATCATGTAAGAAAACATCAACATGCAGACAATATTGTTTTGAAATGATCATATCTCAAATTATTCAAGACGTAAATGAATTTTAAATTAAAGTATGTAACTATATACTTACAACTAGAAGGTAAGGTATTTTGTCTAGGTAAAGCAGTATTGGTGGTAGATTGGGGTGGTTGGAATGAAGGAGCTGAATGTTGATGATGTAAAGCCAGACCATGATGTTGTATACCACGTTGAACTGGGGCATTGTTAAATGTTTCATCAGTAGTTAATGCAGATAAACCTTGAGTTAATTGTTGACACATTTGAGCTATAGAGTCGTCATGTTCTGGTGAAACCTCATGTATCGTTCCTCCTACAGCTAAAATAATATATTAACAATTTCATAGTTAAAATCATTCTTTATACATATATTTACATAGAATAATGTTATGACAACAACTTAGGCTTAGCAAGAAAAATAATATGGCGACACCCATATCTAAAATATAATCGATTCATCCTCATAACCATTCCATAATCATCCTAGAAGTTGTTGATATTAAGTTAGGCTTAGCAAGAAAGGCAATATGGCGACACTAAAATATAATTTGTGCAGTGACAAGTCATATCAATAGGAAAATTGTGTAAGAATCTAAGAGACCATAATTGTTCTTTCATTTTAACCTTATCAATTGTGTACAATTCATTTATGATTTCTTCTGGCATTTAAGCAAGTCATTAGAAGAGAAATCTTTTTTATACATGATAATCAAACATTAAACTTTTCTTCAGCTTTGTGTGAATTTAAACTGGCATGTGCTGATATTTCATATTATCGTCCTATTGGTGTCCTTACAAGGAAATCCTGTTTAACAGCTAAATTTTGATTGGTTTTACAGTGTGTTAAAACCTTCTGTGACCATATGATTTATCATTTACTTACCACCATTAGCACTAGGTGATTCTAATATCGCATTCTGTCGTTGAAGGGTTGATGGGAGATCAGAATAACGTAATGAAAGTGTCCTTTTAAATGGGGATGAAGCTTCTTGTAACTTTTCAAAGCCTCTAAAAGAACCTTGTCTATTGAAAAGTTCTGGTGTAGCATGAGGTCTCTGAACAGCAAAAGGATTATCAACTCTCCTAACTGGCACTGGTTCTGAAAGATAGAAATTTACTTTCAAATGGTACCTTACTCGTTATACTTTAATTTATTACTTAACACAAATGCCATAATTAGAAAAGAAATCTATAGAAATAGGAAAAGATATTCCTAATTTGTGATATTTTTGAAGGAATTACGCTATTTTCGTAAATTTCTAATACTTCTGAAGACTATTTAGATATATTCAAGTTTCAAATCAACCCCCTAAATGACACACCTGAAAACAAATCAATTATTTTTTTAATAAGAATCTTTGTGTCATAAGGGATACATATCAAATGATATAAATAGAGGGAGTAAAAGTCAATAGCGGACTAGTTGAGAGGTAAATGTATCAACCAGCCAACTGACAGATAGACACCATGTTTGATAAACATGTTCTCTACCAAATCAATAGAATCAATCCTCTTATCCTCTTTCCTTAGTTATTTTTATCTTCTTTTCATTTTATCAGACCAGTTTATAGCTTGCTGTTCCTTCTCAACTATGCCAATTATTAAAACATACTAATACAGACATTGATGTCAAATTGAAATGAAATAAGTCTTTTATATCTCTTCAATGCATACAAAGAGAAATTATTGTGTTGGGAAATTTCTGATCACCTTTACAAGAACAGTAGCTAAGGATAACTATTATACTTTTTATATTGACTAAAATTAATTACACAAGACATGGAACTATATTTTTAGACACAAGAATATAATATTATTGACATTTTGTACCAACTTAACACTTGACGACATAAAAAATAGAATGAAGGTTGCTATGGAGATATAATTATAAAATAAACATTTTATGCTATATTATTTACTACCAATTGTTGTAGAAAATCAATAGATGGTCTAATGATAACAGTATACTTCAGCATTCAATTACTTTGTTATAAAAAGAACAATAACTAACTGACTGACCCTAGTAAGTGTTTTCTGGGAACACAAGAAAACAATTTCAGTAACAAATACTTGAATGTAAATGGATGTTATGTTTAATACGTTATGTTAAATACATATTGTGTTAAGTACCTATTATGCTAAATACCATTTATGATACATACACATTGTGTTAAATACATGTGTTAAGTACCTTCTAACCCTATTTCCACTGAGAATTGTAAAGTAAAGCTAGCTTTAAGCTAGCGTAGAGCCAGCTTTATTACCGAATGTGTTGTTTAACAAATTTAACTGGTTCCTGAATGACTTATCAATGATGATCACAAAGTCACACATTATTGACGACTCATGATGTACAAGACTACTGTTTAGATCAGTAAGAAATGCAATAGACCGGAAAGACCAGTATGCCCCTTATTGCGAGATAAACGCAATAAAGCTGGCTTTATGAGATAATTATGAGATAACCGGCTTTAAACGAGCTTTCAGTTGGCCCCCCGATAAATTGCCGAATGTGAAAATAGAGGTTATCGGTTCCCGAACCGTAACGGTTAGGCTATTTGCCCAGTGGATACACACGACAGCTTGCTTAAAGCCAGCTTTTTCCTTCAGTGTAAATAGTAATACACATTGTGTTAAATATATGTTATGTTAAATACACTTTGTGTTTGTACATATTGTGTTAAATACATGTGTTAAGTACCTATTATGCCAAATACCTGTAAATAGACATTGTGTTAAATACACATGGTGTTAAATACAAGTTATGTTAAATGCACCTGGTGTTAAATACAGGTTATGTTAAATACACATTGTGTTAACACTTACATTAAATACACGTCTTGCAAAATACATACCTGCTAATATTGCACTCTGGGGATCAGCCAGTCTTTCAGTCATAGACGTTTGACGAAATGATCCTGTACGTGTAAAACTAGTACGGTCTTCACTAAATGTTACTGTTACACCAGTCTCTTTATCTCTTTTCTGTTTTTTCTCAAGGCAGACAGCAAATGCACAACCAACAGCATGACTCAATCTTTCCCCCTATCAATAGATACATCGAAAATAATGCCAAAACTCTATTAGAATCAATTTATGTATCTTATTTCAGTGAAAATAAGCGCTTAACATTTTTGAAAAACTTTCCAACTTGACTTTTGAATTTTTTCAATAAGAAGTTTATGATAACAGCATGGCTTGATAATATTTAACTGATAATCAAAGATAAAATCCCAAGATAAAGTCACTTTAAGGAAAGAAAAGGAAGAACAAGGGATAAAAGGAAGATGAATTCAACTTTAATTATTCTCAAAAGATCTATTCATCACAGGTTCAGTGTTTTTTACGGTAGTGAATAGAATGTCTGGGCTAGTTGACCTGTATATTATAATACAATAACCTGGGTACTGCCACATTATTCATATTGTAACATGTATTATAATTTCTATTCTTGTCACACACTATGTATATTCTTTTCAGTATAAACCTCTTATGAATATTATTATATCTTATGAAGAAAATCCTACTTGGTTAATGGCTTAATGTTTGCTACCTAGATAGCCAATTATTCCCAGTTTATACAGTTGCTATATACTGAATAAATCATCATTAGGTCAGACCAATTTATCTTTTTGTTTTAAGGATTTGTGCATGAAAATCTGTCATGACAAGAGGGAAAAAAAATTAATGTAAGCGGAGAGAAAACTAAAAACGTTACAAAAGCCAGAAATTACCTGGATTCTCCTTCTCTCTCAATATTGATTGAATCAAAAATCATATATTCTATTAAATATACTAAATAATAATTTCTTTTATCATCGGGGGACGAAGGAAGTTTTTTTCAAAACTGATTTCTAGAAAATTGAGGAAGAAGGATCCGTAATACTAGAAAATACATTGGTCTGGCCTTAACAGTATTTGATACATGTATTTACTTGTCTTATTCAACTATTCAAAAAAGATGTGCATACTATTTGACATGAAATACTTAAGAGTTATATAGACAATAACTTTTCCCCATTTTTCAAACTAAATGTCATGTCATAAACATACTACACCTTGAAATGAAATAATTTATTTGCCTATCCAGTGTTATTTATGTAAATTTGTATATACAATATATCAATGAAGTATAGAACTTTTCTTTATAAAACAGATCAATCAATAATACATAAAATTTTATATTGATTATATAAAGTCTTTTTAGATTAACTCAATCTGTTGTTTTTAGGAGAAGTATCAGTTGAATACCATTTTCTCCAGTTCAGATTGACCATTAAATCTTGTCTGCTATGTCAAATCATAACTCTCATTTGATATGATGGTGTGAAACAGTCGCTAATACTATCATATTTTTCATTATAATTGACTTTTTCTCAGCATGACACTTTTCATTAAGGATTTGAGGTCATATTGGTTTACTTCTATAACATGTTCAAATTCATCTGTAATCAATTTCTATTCTTTTCACCAAGATTTCAAGGAAAATATAAATATTGATCTTCCAAGAATTCAAAAGAAAGCTTTTGATTTGGTGATCATTAAAGAAAATATGGAATATAATCTAATAAGCCAAAAGCTAAGCCTACATAAGATTTAAACCCTACTTTTAAAAGGTGTGGATACTAAGAAGACAGATAAAAGCTATGAAATAAGGGTAGGCCCTATATCAGTGCAGGATTTTTATCTACAGGGATTGAGCTGCTATGTGGAAAGAAAGATAGACATAAACCATATTGAAAACCCAACTGGCATCTTGTGTTTGGCTGTGAAAAAAGTGAAGTAGGACTTTTGACGTTGATATATATTTTATATTAAAGATTGACTAGGTCTTTTAGAAATCACGACCCAAATCAAATCACCTCAATCTAAAGAAAAATCTTGTCATGTTGACTTGACATCATGCAAATTTTCAAGCAAAATTTTGAAAAAAAGACGATAAATTTGATAAATAAAACATTTATATCTTATACAAAGTTCACTTTAACTCTTGTATCTCAGTGCAATATATTCTTATCACACAAAAAAGCAACCAAAAAATGTGAAAAGTTTCAAAATCTAAAAATAAAATTCAGGTAAACTCTAATAATGTAGAAAAAAAAAACAAAAAAACTTGAACCAAAAAATAACAATACGAAAAAAATAAAGTGGAAAAAACTCTAAAATTCATTAATTACAAATAAGTTACCTCCCTTTCTGTCGACAAACACAAGTTGAGAGTAGAGTCCTCAGTTATGGTTGGTAGAATTGGTAGATAGAACACAGAATCAAAATATAAAAATAATACTGACACTTACGGACTCTTTAACGGCCATAAAGCCGTGACACATCCATCTCCTTGTAGTACCATCTCGACAAATATAGGCAAAACCTTTTTCATGGTTTCTGTCTGGGGCACAGAATGATACTTTTTCTATTGTCTGATCTACTATCATGCTCTGGAAAAATAAAAAAAAACTATCATAAAATTCAACTGTGTCTCATCTTTCAAGGAATTTAATGTGATATACAATTATAATTATTATTACAGTGTTAATATTAGGGGTTAAAAGATTGTTTTTATCAGTTGAGAACTTTACTTGTAAATGGACCAGAAGTTTGTTTTCTTTCTAAAAGGTGATACAGATAGTTGGAACTGTGCTTGTCAGAATGAAATAGTCTGATAAAAAATAAAATAGACAACATACCTTACTGATTTCATCTACAACTCGTAAAGCATCACCAGATACATATAACACAGCTCTCTGTACTTTACCTTTAGCTTGCTGTAAAATAAAAAATACAATACACATGTATAAGCTAAGATGCCAGGAAAATTTTGTTAAGGAATGTCATGTAGAGATTTCACTTCTGAGTAATTATTTAATAAAAATTATAGTTGAAAGGAATTAGCCACTTCCCTTAACTCTAAAGTTTGTTCTCTCATCTGTTACATTCAATTTTAATTTTTTATCAATGGTTAAAGATGGGTTTCCTTATCTTTTAGTGTCAAATTAAGCAAACTATTTGATTAATTGGTGTTTCTAATGAATTATCATATCTTAATCATGTAATTATCTTCTTATTGCATATAAATAAAAGTTTTAACTAATCAGAAATGTCCATGTATGAACAGTCTGGATAAACAACAAAAGACTTTTTGACCTTTCTCTTCTAATTTAGCTCATTATGAATTAATCATGGACATGTGAGACAAACTGTTTTTTTTTCTAGTCATTAGAACACTTTCTATTCATATAAGTATTAGCATTTTCATTTTCATAAATGAAAATATGGGAACCTATCTTAAAGATTAATGAATGAATTCAATGGTTTTTATGATGCTCTTTTATCTTTCCTTTTATGTCATCAAACCAGAAACTAGAAAGATTATTAATTTTCTTTTGAGAATCACCTAAACCCTAATTTCTAGAACTGCTTGACTTGGAAATTTCATTGAAGCTCTTTTATTTCTTGGGTAACTTCAGATACAGATCATATATCAGATATAAACCAGTGTATTTGTTTTAAAGAATATATATTTTCATTGCTGTAACATGACATAATAACAGTCAGTATGTAAGACAAATTATCTGATAAAATGTGGTAGAAAATTCTTAGTAAATATCTTCAATGATATTATTGATATCTGTTGACTGATCAGAATGTATAATGATAAATTATACTGCTCTTAGATCATTTACTACAACCATAAAAACATTGATTATATCTAAATATAGCCCTACTTCAATCCTTCCTACAACTTTCATTGACAACAACTCAATATCAATTTTATTTCAAAACACTTTTCATTCTGATTCTATTCTGATTAAATTATCTCCTGCAATTTCTTTCCAAAATACTCACTTTACCATCCATAAATTCTTAATATAGAAGGATGGAGTACTTAGAATCTCACAGTTTAAAATGCACTATTTTACTCAACTGTTTAATTACATTTTAAATGATTTTTTTAATGAAAACTTTAACCAGTTTTTTTTTCTTCTGTTTCTTAACTTTGTAATTGCTTTTAGTCACTTCAAATTATAAACTTATATCCAAACTAAGTGTAAAATATTCCATAGACAACTATGCTATTCAACATGCAAGTATGATATTCGTGTCAGGATGATATTCAGTATGCGAGCCTAATATTCAGTATGCGAGCCTAATGTTCAGTTTTTAAATAGTGAGTATAATATTCAAATACTGAGTATGATGTTCACACAGTTTGTATGATATTCAAACAATGAGTATGATATCATATTCAAACACTGAGTATGATATTCAAACAATGAGTATGATATTCAAACACTGAGTATGATATTCAAACACTGAGTGTGATATCCAAACAGTAAGTATGATATCCAAACCGTTAGTATGATATTTAAACAGTGACTTTGATATTCAGTATGAAAGTATGATATTCAAACAGTAAGTATGATATTCAAACAGTAAGCATGATATTCAATGAAACAGTGTACCTACACAGTGTGTATGATATTCAAACAATGTGCTTGATATTCAAAAAAAAATTTGCATGATACTCCAACAAAGAATATGATATTCAAATAGTATGTATGATATTCAAATAGTATGCATGATACTCAAACAAAGAGTATGATATTCAAACTGGGTATGATATTCACACAGTTAGTATGATAATGAAGTGTATATAAATGATAGTGTAGTGAAAATAAAACAACACAATGAATGAAAGTAATTTGATCTGTATGGAATGTTAATTGTTGATAATTAAATGAAATGAAAGATATCCTGTATGACTTTAGGCTATATGATCTATTAGTAACTATTCACACCAACCAATTAATTACTACACTAGATAACAATTGAATATTTGGTAGTTAAATCATATCATTCAATTAAAATATGGAATGATGGCACATCACAATTTTATAAATAACATTTTCTTTCACTTATATATATATAATTATGTTTGTGTGTAGTTGATTGTCAAATAACCTCTTAAATTCATTTCAAATATAATACAAAAACAACACAGGAACATTTGACTTTCTATACAACTCAAACCTTGTAAGGTTTTCTGTCTTAGACTCTTTTTTATGGTGAAATAAGTGAATTCTAAGACTAGTCAATTTGACTCAACTTGACATTTGAGAGTCATTTTCTTATTTCTTATATTAACATTTACCCTCTTGACATTTAGAATAATTTTCTAAAATTTCAATTTTTTTTCTTATGGAGGGATAATTCTAAAGTTGTCTCAAGAATGTGCATTTTTTACTTTTAATAACACTTTCTGAAATTTTTAGTTCTTCAATAGCCTTTTAAGGATAAAATTTGAAATAATCTAATTATTAATACTAATAATAGCATAACCTCAAAATTAAGTTGATAGTCACTCTGAATTTGACATCAAGTTTTATGAAACAATCATTTAAAACACTTGTGATTTTTTGTGATAATTATTGTATAAACTACTTACACTACTACTAATTATATAATTAATGAAATATTTATCATGAAATATACAAATACTGTAGGAGGCTTCTGTTATGCATTTTGTCATACAAAAATCCTGTGACCCAGCATAATGTTCTGAAAAGCAGTTCCAGTTTCTGGAAGTATCTACACCATTTAAATTTAAAGGATAAAAATTGCCTCTAGACTTACATTTTTGAGTGCTTTGACTGCTTCTTCACAAACTTGCATCCCTCGAGAATCGAAAACTTCTATACATCCTAAATACTGTAATATAAAAATAATAAAATTAGAGATGTCAAGTTTATTAGGGAGTTCTTTGTCCAGCAAAGTCAATATCATCTTCATTAAATTTGATCAATTAAGTGATTGGATCAGAATTTATCAAATCAATTTAAATATGTTTATTTATATGATGCTCTGGGGATTGCTGATTTTTATCATTTTCTTAACTACTTATTTATCACATCAAATTATGTGGCACTAGGGCTATTACAATCAAGGACATCAGTTTATTGGACCAAACATTAAACAAATGCATTAAGCCTTTAAAACAAATTTTCAAACATGACCTCAAATCATAGTCTAAGACATAAATGAAGGATAAAATGAAATGTTACACACTGCAATTGATTTTACATTAACCACACACTAACAAAACATATATTATTCAATAGATAATGATTTTTACCCACATTCCTCTCATATTTTCACTTGACTTGTCAATAACACTTACACAGTAGTTCAAAAAGACAAGAACCTAGACCACTAATATTGCTAGTGTTGAATAAATCAATGATTAGACCAGAATTTGATTGTATTTGATTTGACATCAATCAATATCCCAGTCTGACATTAAAGCTTATATAAGTAATATAGTCTAGTTCATGTCAACAATCATTTCTAACATATTCTCTTTCATCTTCAATTCTCCAGCAAACTTCACTCATTACAAACTTACTCACCACTTCAAACACACAGAAATTTGAATTGCTTTGGAACCATAATCAATGAAAGTGTGTACTAAGTGAAAAAAACATTTTTTTCAAGCAATAATTTGTTTTCTCGCTAAATTTCATTCATCATCTACTGATTTCTGAGGTTATTTGAGTAATTTATTTTTTCAAAGAAATTTTCCTTTCAAATTAATTTGAAATAGTTTGAGGAAATGACAAAAGTCAATACACTATCTTTAGATGAAATTGGTTGTAAAAACAACAACATAAATCTTTTATGTATCAGACACTTATAGAACAGATATGCACCATTTCTAGTTTCAGTTAGATGTTTGTGGATCCTACAATTTCACTTAAAACAAAGCATTCTATGATGTCAACATCATTATTTAAATTGTTCTGAGATGAGATATGAATTATTATAGTGGAATTCAAGAAGCACAGACATCTTACTGCAAATTGGATAAGTGGATATCCATGCTATCAGTGTCCTCGATACAAAGTAAAATATGAACAAAAACGAAGATAACCTGTAGATGGTAAAAGTTTATTTTAACCCTGTGTTAGGAAATCTTCTCAAGATCTTTTCGAATCTAATTTGTAGAGCTGTCTTTGAATCAGAATGCCAGGAACTAAATTTGAAGGAATTTATGTGTCTAGCATCTTATTTTATCTGCTAAATAGTCTAATAGAGAAAAAGAACAGACTTGATTTAATCTTGATTTTATCTCTGGTAAGGGAAGACATAAATCATACAAGATCAATTCTTACTTTATACCATCTTCAAACTGATCAAAGTGAAAAACCCCAAAAAAACAGTAGTAACATTAATATAGAAGGTGTTAATCATTTGACTAGAGTAGTTAAGAAGATTGAATTAAGCTGACTTAATGATAATGATCTGAACTTGATTGATGTGTAATCAATGATGTGAGATGGTTTAACACGCAAACCTGGAGTAAGTCAGGCAATATATAAAAAACATATTCTCCCTTACCTAGCTGCCAGGAGGAGTAAGTAATCACTTAACCTACAGTTAGTAACTGTTTACATCATTATTACTATATCTTAATCACTACCTAGTAGGTTACTTGACTTATAGTTTAAAACTCTGACTTCCTATATTAAATTATTTCAAACCTAGCTATTGATAAATACTTCTCTTTGCTTGATACTTTATGCAATTCAGTTGTTAAGGTAATCTTTGCCATTAATTGAATATTAATTATCAGTTTAAGATTACTTAATTTATCAATGTGTCTAAAACAGCCTGTCCTAACTCATGCCCATATTTACTAAATTATTTAACTTTGGTGAATAAGATAATTAATTATTGAAGAAATATTGGATCATTACACAAGTTTAGACAATTTGATATTTTAGAGTTTGGTCGGGGTAGTTGGAGTCTTGCTCTCCAATCTAGATGTCCAGAGTCCTGGTACCTCAGATCTATTATTTCTATCCTTTTATATGCGAGACTGGAACTTATAAAGTATCTATAATTTGACACTTTTCAAAGTATTTTTGAAAGGGGACAAAATCTATAATTGGAATAAGGACAAATTCTGTAATTCAAACATACAATTGTATTAACAAATGAAGCTGCATAAACCGAAATGAAAATAACTTGGTCACATAGCAACAGTTTTCATTTCTTTACTGATCCTGATTGTGTTATTTTAACCTTAACTTATTTCTATTTCTACAGTTACATAGCTATTTAATACACATCTATTTCTATCATTTAGCTTCAATATTGTAGAATATTGATTTATTCAAGTCCACTGACATGGTATTCTTTAGATTTAAATTCAGTCTGATTATTACAGAGGATATGAGCCACTTGTTGTAGATATTTTCAAGTCTCAATTTGACAAAAATTCACAAAATATACATATTAACTTAATAGTCTTCTAAGAAATTTTTGGATGTCTATGTCTGCAACTCATACAATCAATAATGCATACAGTCTGGACTACCCACTGTTCACTGATATTCAATTTTAATTCTAAATTTGAATTGAAATAGATCTTGATAGTTCAAGATTAAAGTTTATAACACTACTTAGTCTACTTACCCTCACTTGAAAACTACAAGTTCCTTCTCGAACTTTTTTCTCGTCTTCCTGCCATTGATGAGGTTTAGAGCATTCTGGTACATGATCTTTCTTTTTCCGAAAACTTAACCTTCTCTTCAAGCTTTGCATGATATTATTGACGTAAAATCGTCTGAAATAAAGAAGGTGGAAATATTGGTTAAGTCTACCTTATTGATTTACCAGTTTCCATTAGATATGGCCGGTATTCAGAGAGAAAACGAACAATAAATGAAAAGATAGAGTAATTTTCTCTCTAGCTCATCTGACAACAAGTACAATTTAAGCCAGTTAATCTAAATGAGAAAAAAAAATACAAACACAAATTGAGGAGACTTTCAAAGATTTAGAAGTAATTTGTGCCATTTGATTTTTGAACATCTACTTCAAAATAGCAGGACTCTGATGTATTTGAACTAAATACTAGCTAACCCTTGTGTTATATCACAACCAAAGTTTTAGAGAAAAAAAACTAACATACTTTATGCAATTCAGTTGTTAAGGTAATCTTTGCCATTAATTGAATATTAATTATCAGTTTAAGATTACTTAATTTATCAATATGTCTAAAACAGCCTGTCCTAACTCATGCCCATATTTACTAAATTATTTAACTTTGGTGAATAAGATAATTAATTATTGAAGAAATATTGGATCATTACACAAGTTAAGACAATTTGATATTTTAGAGTTTGGTTGGGGTAGTTGGGGTCTTGCTCTCCAATCTAGATGTCCAGAGTCCTGGTACCTCAGATCTATTATTTCTATCCTTTTTTATGCGAGACTGGAACTTATAAAGTATCTATAATTTGACACTTTTAAACTGGCTTCAAAAAACTAACAATATTTTTCTCAAATTGACGCATGAAGTAAGATCAGATCCTGCTTGTAGCTAGTTTGAAACTTTTACATATACATCCAAAAAACTCCTTATTCTATTACTTCAAAATGGAAGGCAAACTTTCTTATTACCATTTTATTTGTTAATAGATGATTGATATTTTTAACATCCAGTAAATTTGAACTATTTATTTTCACACTACCAATATGTATTATAATAGTTTGAGATAAGGGATTCTGAACTAAAGGTACAGAAACTGGTTTATGTTTTGTTCACAAGCTATAAATAATTATATATTTATCTAGAATTCATTCATGGTCAAAAGGTAAGTGTTTTGTATTAAATTGAATCTAATAAAACTATATCCATCAAATATAATAAATTGATGTTAGATATAGTAGATGACTATTTTAACCAGTCTTTTTGCTTAGTTTAATAAGTAATCTAGAGATATATTTCATTGTATTTTAAGTTTGAAGATATTTAATATCATTGATAAGAGATATTTTTATTACATACAGAGCTTACATCACAACTGTTGGACATACAATTATGTTATAGGTAATATAGAAGATATAATGATGTTTGTACATGATAACAGTAGTTTATAACACTAATCATTTACTATCTCATTAGTACCTATTACAAACTGTAGTATCCGTTACAGTTTTCATTAAGAGAAAAAGAAAGAAAAATTGTAAAGCGTGGCTATGATTCCTTTCTCATTAAAATAATCTGGCTCTTTGAATATTTAGTATTTGATATATCTAGTTTTAGTAAGAAGTCAGTTTATTACACATATAGTTTTAATCCTGTATATTTACAAACTTAACTGACTGACTATACTGTGTTGATATACTGTAAGAACTGGGAAAACAGTTTTTCTCAGAAAACTTAATATAAATCAATAATACTGAAATGAAATGAAACATCCTTCTTTTGAGCTACAAACAATAGCAACACTATGCAGTATGTTATAGAGACAGACAGTAATTCATTTAATATTTTTATTTTCTTCCTACTTTAGTGTTGATTTCGCATTCTGTTAAACAAAGAAACACTTTCTTACAAAATCATAGCTGACCTGAGGAAAATACAAAAAAAAAAGATTGTATATTGTTTACTTTTGTTGTTACAGGTATTAAAGTTATCAGAGCAGAAACAGTCTCAGATGACAGTCTCATCTGAAGAATAAACAATATCCTTAAACTTCTATTATTATCATATATCTTACAATTTAATATTTACACTATTTTAACCTGATTTTATTTTGTAACAAGCTTTAAATTCAAATAGACACTAGAGCCACTCGTGGCACAAATGGGACTTTGCAAATGTAGCAATTTGCTAAAGACCCTGAAAAAATCAACCATCGACGATAATTAAGTCAAGCGCAAGAACAAGTCTAAAGTTGATAATTTTTTATTTTTTAGAAGATTCTAATACCGGAAGTAGACGTCAGACCTCACAAATGAAAGTATCAGCAGATAGCCAAGGTCAATGACCTTTGATCTTGTAAAGGAGAAGGTCTAAAAAGGTCAAGATCAAGAGATATCCCTCATCAAAATTTCTAATTGCACACGACTATAAAACCGGAAGTTGACATAGGACAGCAAATATAAAAGTATAAATAGATAGCCAATGCCAATGACGTTTGATCCTACAAAGGTCAAGGTCAACAAAGGTCAAGGTCAAAAATTGAAAATATTACTGGCCAAAAGGATGATGTAATTGTGTGCAAAGTTCCTTTTTGAACAAATGTATTCTATGCAAGTTATGCCCCTTCCCAAAAATGTAAACATTTAGTAATTCAACCCGGATGTGCCACGCCCACATCAATTTATTTGTCATAGGTGAATTCATATTCAAAGTGTCTAGATGTATTCCAAATTTCAAGGTTCTACATCAAATAGGTCAATAGTTATACATACACCAAGTTCAAAGAGACACAAATATTGTAAAAAAAACCCTCAAATTTGAAAAAAATGACGAATTTCAATTTCGCTGTAAAAAAACGATTGTTATATATTAATGTAAGGTGCGTGAGAAGCACATTAGGAAACCGAAAAAATTAATCCTCTAAGTTAATTATGTCACGTGCTACAGCAGTCCAAAGTTGCGAATTTGCTTTTTTCGGACAGCTATAAAACCGGAAGTACATGTCGGAGGTCAAATGTCAAATTATCAAATGATAACCAAGGTCAATGACCTTTGACCCTGTAAAGGTCAAGGTCACCAAAGGTCAAGGTCACGAGATATCACTCATCAAACTTTCAAAATGCATACGACTACAAAACCGGAAGCTTACGCCCAACATCAAATATGAAAGTATAAATAGATAACCAAGGTTAATGACCATTGACCCTACAAACGTTAAGGTCATCAAAGGTCAATGTCAAAAAATGAAAATATGGAAATTCTAAAACCCGTTCCTTTTTTTGAACTATAAATCTGAAACAACTGTCCTTTAAACACAAACTGGCCAAAGAGATGAGGTATTTGTGTGCAAGGTCCCTTATTGAACAAATGTAGACTATGCAAGTTATGCCCCTGCCCCAGATTTGAACAACTAGCAATTTAACGCGGATGTGCCACGCCCACCTGAACTTTTTTGTCATGATTTAATTCATTTTCAAAATGTCTAGTAGTGTTATAAATTTCAAACTTCTACATCAAATAGGTCAAAAGATATACATACACTAAGCTCAAAAACACAAAAATATTGTAAAAAACACTCAAATATCAAAAAAGTACGAATTTCAATTATGATTTTAAAAACTTTTGTGATATATCGTTAGAAAGAGTATGAAGAGCACATTAAGAATCCGAAAAAATTAACACCTCTAGGATAATTAGGTCACGTGCT